TTGGTCAACCTTAGAAAAAGCCGTCAGTTTTTTTTCCACTTGAGGAGCGTCAATTTTTTGAAAATCCGCCGCTTCTCTGAACCCCGAGAAAATTCTAGATCCTGGATGTTTGTTTTTTTTTCGAACCACTCTGTGCCGAAATGATTCCAAAAGATTCGCTGTGGAAGTTATTCGGTGGTCATTTTGTAGCCGTTTGAGTGCTATCAGGCCTGAAATTTTGTTCCGATAAATTCAAAATGGCGATGATTACGATTTCGTCTAAGTGTAAACGGTCCGATCTCAAGTGTCAGATGAGACACCTGTGAACAGACCTGTTAGTCCAATGGTGCTCTCCCTGTTAGTAAAATTGTTGGCGTGGTTTCCAAATTTATTAACTACTTACAAGAGAACTGATTGGAAACAATTTTTTTTATTATGATGATTATTAATATTACTATTATTCAAAGTTAAATACCAGAGCAAAGATCTGTTAAAGAAATCACAATGGTGCGTGCTCGTGGAGCTGTATTCCCAGATAGCCAAAAAATTAAATATTTCCGGTTTTAACTAAACTAAATGAGACTGCTCGTATATCAGGGCAAAGCCGACTGCCCCTTAATCTTTATCGATTCCTTTTTGGGAAAAGAAAATAATGAAAAACTAATCAATTATGGATAGAACGAAACATCAAGTGTGAAAAATCAAGTGCGCCTCATCCAACTGCCCGTTAATCCATATCGATTCATTTTGGGAAAGAAATGAAAAACTATCAAATTTGGATAGAACCAAAAATCAAGTGTGAAAAATCAAGTTAAGAATTCAATTCGAGCGATTAGCCTCAATTTAATTTGGAACTATTTTGTTGTGCGGGATAATTAGTCGCGCATAAATAGTTCGCGTTGCGCTTTCAGTATTATGAATAATATCTTTAAAGCGGCGCGCATAACTTAGTCCCTGGTATGTCCAAATTGGCAATTTTCTAACTTTCAGAACTTTAAAAAAAGTTTGGAGGTAAAATATCTTTTTATGTTTGATTTCAAATAGTCGATATCTTCAATGGTTAAAAACTATCATTTCGATCGCCGAAAATTGACTGAATAAAAAAAACCACGCCAATCATAAATGTTCCGTTTTCATCGATAGTCGCAACAATCAGAAATTTTGTCACAAAGTTTAGACTCATTTTGATAGGACAGCCTGTTAGCCGTAGCTAACAAATTTCTAAAAATCTTTAAAAGATTTGATTGGTTGATACGTTTACTCTCATCAAACTAATTAACAAGGGAAAATCCGCTACTTTCCTTTCTACCGCATGGTTTTTCCGGATATTTTTAACAATTGCACCCACCCCTAAGGTATCTACTAAATAATTGCTTGATAGGGGAAAATATCTTCAAACAGAGAGTGTGGTGATGAGGGGGGGGGGGGGGGGGTCTGGGAATTACCACTTTTTCAACACCAACGATTGAATTACATCATAAGTTTGGGGGCCCATAATTATTTGCTTGCCGGGAGAGGGGATTGGGGGTAAATGTGAGTAAGGGGGGTATGTTGTAGGAGGGTAAGAGGGAAGGAAGTGGGAAGGGATAATGGTGGGGGTAAGCGGGGGGTGGGGGGGGGGACCAAATAACAAAACAAGGAAAAGAATGTGTTGATTAGAACTGGTCGGCTATATAGTATGTTTTTAATATGTACTAATATGGTTTTTGTAATTTTGAACGGCTGGGAAAACAAATATAAATTTCGGCTATCGGGGAACGAACTTATTTTTTAATTTTCGGCTATCCGTGTATTCGTCTCCGTGACACGCCAACGTCACAACAGTTTTTTGCATATCAATTTAGTAAGAAAATTAGAAAGGCGATGTTATTTGTTTCAGGTGAAGGAAAACCAGAAACTAATTCTGACTGTCAGCCTATCAGAAGCCTACATGTCAACTCCAGTTGACCAATCAGAATTCAAATGGTTCTTCAACAACGAGCCAATCACAGCCGACGATGAGAACTGTTTCTCAGCCAATCACGTTTCATCTTCTCGTTTGATGATATTAAACATCCGACAGGCCAACGAAGGTCATTATTCAGTTCAGTGGAATGAACTTAAAAGTTTTTGTCGTGTTTCGGTCTTACCATCCTTAGCTTCAATCAACATTCCAAACTTTCTTAAACCACTTCCCAAAGAATCCAAACTTCAAGAAGGACGAAGCTCAACATTCGAAGTGATTGTGAAAGGCAAACCCTTCCCGGAAGTCACGTGGTCTATTGACGGGGTACCTTTGCAACCTTCAGATATAATTTCGACAATTAGTGATTCAAAAAGTGGCGAATGTTCGATTCAACTCAACTCGCTAACAGCTAAAGATTCGGGTAAAAAGTTAACGTGTGCTCTGAAGAATGACAAGGGGAAAGCGGAATGTGTTTCCCTGTTGAGCATTGAACCCTCTCCTACAGCGACTAAGAAAGTGGACATCAAAGTAGCAGCGCCTTCGCCGACTAAGTTGAACTCGCTGAAAAAAATAGTGTTCGATGCTATTGACGAAAATGAAGTGCTGCCGTGAGTATTCTGCTTTCAGTTCTTAGAATTTTGTTCCCCTAATTAGAAATTATTTCTCTTCTAAATTAAATTCAATAATTACAAAAGTATGAAAAGAAAAAGTATGCACAACAACCGGCTATCCTTATTTTTTGTAGTGCTTTCAGGAATTATGCAATTCCAAGAGCAAATTTTCAAAAGTGTTGTCGACTTTTTTTGAAAAGGACCAAATTAGCCAAACAAAAAAACCTCGGATATATTTTTTCGAACTTTGAACTACTGGACAAAGTTTTTGCGCAGTTTTATCAACTATTTGATTACTTTTAAGAACCAGTGACAAACATACGAGCTGGTGGATTCGTTTTGGAGATAACCGCTATCGTGTCTATATTTGAGAATTACTAAGGGAGTCAATTGTTCAACTTAGGAGTGACTCATCGGCCATCAACAGATCCTACTCTATGGGCAGTCGGAGTTCGATGGGGACAAGTGGGAGTGGTAAATTCCTGGAGATAGTGAAACCCTTGGAGATCACCAGCAGCAATTCAGGACTCATCACACTCGCCTGCATTGTCGAAGGTGTGTATCCAGTTTAGTCACGTCATTTAGAATGTTCTAGAAAATTCTGGGATGTATCTATCGAAGGCTTGATACATCTAAATGTCGTAAAATGGAGATTAGGAATCAAGAAAAATGATCTGCATGCCTCTTCTGCATAAAAAGTGATACTTTAATCATTTCTTAGGTTGAGTTTTCTAACTAATTTAAATTTCTACCTAATTTAAAATTTACGGGCATCTTAATCAATCCAGTTCATATGTTAATAGGTGAACCGAAACCGCAAATATCCTGGTACAAAAATGCCAACATCCTCCGAAAATCAAAGACAACTGAATTCCTCTTCGATGGAAAAACAGCCAACCTCCTCATTAAACCAGACGAAAGCGGGAATGTAGATGAAGTCTTAGGATCTTACACATGCAGAGCCGAAAACACTTTTGAACAAAAACAGACTTCCATAAACATCAGCAAGACTTCGTTGACGTCATTGAGTCTGAAAAGATCTGGGACTCCAACGTCAACAACTGGAACCATTGGCAATAATGGGGAGAATTCTTCGGGACCTTCGACAATCGACAGGCATGCTCGGACACCTTCGACATCGTCTATGCCTGCTGCGACAATTGGTGGTAAACAGTCGACTGAAAGTCTAGTCTCAACCGACAGTCGCGCTTTGACAACACCGGCGTCTGTCGGACTTAAGAAGAAAGGTGGTCCCATGCGCCGTACATCATCTGCAGTTTTCTTGAGACTTCTGTCACCTTTGCAAGACCAGGAGTTAAGAGTCGGTGATAATTTGACCTTGAGTTGTACAATATCGTGTAGCGAGAGACCAGCCATTTTTTGGTACTTGGACGGAGAAGAGTTGGATTTGGAAGAAAATGAGAATGTGTACAATGACGGAAAGTGTACTTTGAGTCTGAAGAATGTGGATAAATTGTACGAGGGAGTTTATGAGTGCATAATCCAAAGTGGACAGACTGAAATCACGAGTTGCTGTTCGGTCAAGGTTTGTTTAATTTTTAAAGGTTGACAATTCAATTGTGATTATCATATAATTGCAAGAGAACAAAAAAGGAGCTTTTAAATGGGTGTTTTTTTTTACAATTTTAATTACAGGACAATTTTTTGATAATTAACACATGTTAACTTGTAACGTGAAAGTAATTGTAAATGTTAACTTGTAACTAAGTTTATCAATTTTTTTTATATCAATTTGCTCGGAACATTCTGTTCTACTCGCTGAGCAATCAGCTATTCTCGTTTCAACTGGAAATTTAGAGTTATTCTCTTTGGTTTCATAGGTTCGCGATCCAAGCGAAGACCAGCCCAAAATGCTTCTTCCCTGGGAAGACATGGAGATCCTCATTGGAGACCCAGTTTCACTATTTGCCCAATTCTGGCCGGACAATTCCACCGTCAAATGGTACAAAGACGATGCCGAATTACCTTCCAAGCATTACACCGTTGACCAGGGAAGTAGCCAGTTGACCTTGGAAAATTTAACCGAAACTGCGGAAGTTTCCATCGTTGTTACGTCACAAGTTACTGGTAAAACAGCGTCAAATAAATGCAAGATAGTTGTTCACGCTATTCCAATTGAGATAACGTCTAAAACTCCTGATTCGAGTTTCGCGATTGGCGAAAGCTGTTCGTTTTTTGTCGACTACAAAAGCGAATCAAAAGTTTCGGCCGAGTGGTTTCATAACGGAAAGATCAAAAGCAACAGCAGCTCGTTAACTATTATAACTGCGGGCGGGAAATCTCAAGTAGTGATTCAGAAATTCTCAAAAGATTTAGTCGGGCAATGGACTTGCGTTCTCTCTGACGATTACGTTTCGCTTCAGCATTCTTTCAACGTGACAATATCAGAATCTAAAATAAAACCGCAATCACCTTTACTTAAGCTGGGATCTAAATCGAACGCAGTTAAGCCTCCAAAATTCGTAAAACAGTTAGAAAACTGCACAATAAAAGAAGGAAAACCTTTAAAACTAGAGTGTCATTTAGCACAAAGTACAACTAGCCCACATATAACTTGGATGCATGAAAATCGGGAGCTCAAAAATAGCGAAAATTGTGTAATTCGCTACATAAATGGAGTCGCATCTTTGAACATAAACAAAACTCAAAGATCATCGGAAGGCCAATACACGTGTAATGTTGTTCTTTCAGCGGGTGAAGAAATGTCAACTAAATGCGTTGTTAAAATTCCGAGAGATTCCGTTACAAAATCAAGTTCAAAAGAAGCAATTAAACCGACTATTAAACCTCATAGCAAAAAACAGACAGTTACTAAAGCTGGCAAATCATTTGAGCTCAGCTGTGATATTTTAGGCTCGCCGCAACCATCGGTTAAATGGTTACATAACGGAGTGCAATTTTCAAGCTCAGCTGTTTCTAGTAACGGAGTCTCAAAAGTTTCAGTCGCCGCCGCAAAAGACAGCGACGCAGGGGCGTATCAATGCATCGCTACAAACGACGCTGGCGAAGCTATTACCGAGTTCTCAGTAGAAGTCGAATGCGGAGCCGACAAGCCTGTCTTTGTTCGGAAGCTTGAAAACGCCGAAGTAAAAGAAGGAAAACCTTTAAAACTGAGTGCAAAAATCAATTCGTTCAGTAAGCCTAAAATAACATGGCTGCTCGATGGAGTTGAAATCATTTCAGGCGAAAATGGATTTAAGCTCACATCTACTGAACAAATCTTCACATTGAATGTCGCAAATGCAAAATCCGAATCACACGGGGGAAATTATGAAATTCAAGCTGAAAATAACGCTGGTGTTGTTAGCTGCAGCTCACAAGCTAAAATACTTTCTAAACCCATCGTAACGCAATCGTTGGAAGATATATTTGTTTCACCTGGGTCAAATATTGCCCTGGAATGTCATTTCATTGCCCAAAGTGTGCCAAAAGCTGTTTGGTATAAAAATGGAACCCGACTTTTCCAAGTTCGAGGCGTGAAATCATTCTTGGAGGGAAGCGTCGCGAAGCTCGAAATTAATAATTTTACACCGAGCAGCGCCGGAGTTTACCTGGTTAAACTAAGTAATAACGAAGGCGAAGTTAGTTCATCGTGCAAAGTCGAAATTTACAAACAACCTGTTTTCAAAAAACATTTGTGTGAAAAAATTGACGCGGTTTTGGGGAAAATTCTCAAGCTCGAATGTTGCATTGAAGGCGTAAGCGAGTCTAACATAGTTTGGTATCACAACGAAACGGTCATTTCGCCGAAAGTTTACTGTTTCGAAAAAGGCAATTTGGCTTCAATCACTTTTGAAAACTGTTCATCTGAACATGAAGGCACTTATACCTGTATAGCCAGTCATTCAGGCGGTTCAGCGCTTTCAACATGTACAGTAAGCGTTTGCGCTTTACCCGAAATTCAACCTCTGGTTTTCTGTGAAAACTTAGAATTAGTCGCAAATGATTCTTTAAAACTATCGGTTCAAGTGTCTGGAAAGCCAACTCCAACATTACAATGGTTTTTTAAGGATAACTTGATTCACGAAAAAACAAATTTGAAGCTCACTGAACATAACTCAGTTTATGAGATATGTTTGGAGTCAGTAACGACTCAAAATTCCGGCGAGTACTTGTGCGTTGCTAAAAATTCAGCCGGAGTAAGTAAACTAGCTTGTCTGGTTTCTGTCGTTGCTAAAGGTCGAACAGCTCAATTTTCGAAGAATCTCGAAAGTATTTCAGTCAAAGAAGGATCTAAGCTTAAATTGGAAACGAACTTCAACGCGTTTGGATCTTTTACTTCAAAATGGTTTTTGGACACACATGAAGTTAAAGAAACCCAGACTATAAAAATAAACGAAAAACCGACAAGTTCGACTTTGATTGTCGAAAACTCCGAACGATGCTGGGCCGGAACTTACTTATACGAAGTTGTGAACAGATTCGGCCGATCAGCAACGAGTTGTAACGTAACAGTTTTATTCAAACCTGTTTTCACAAAGAAACTTGACTCTCATTTTTACGTTAACAGAAGTAGCGCTTCAACTATGGAAGTCGTTTTTGAAGGTCAGCCAGTTCCTGAAGTTTCGTGGAAGAGAGATGATCAAGTTTTAGAACCAACTGAACAATTGAAAATTCACTCCACAGAAACTAAAAGTATTCTTCACGTTTCAGAACCACAAGGCGGGAAATATACATGTTTATTAACCAATGAAATTGGCAGTACTGAAAGTACTTGTCAAGTTGTAGTAATGGACGTTCCGAAGTTCGAAAAACCGCTTCAGGATAAAGAAGCAAAAGAAGGTGAAGATGTTGTTCTAGAATGTTCTATAATCGCTTTTCCACTACCAGAAGTTTCCTGGTTTTTCAACGATAAGAAACTTGACCCTGAATCAGAAACGTGTATTCAAATGAACTCGAGTAATATGTACACACTTTTGATCAAGAATGCGTCGAAAACGAATCACGGAACCTTTAAAATTGTAGCATCAAACCAAGCTGGCACTAATGCTCAAACGTGTTCTCTTAAAGTCTGCGATATTCCAGAAATTACTTGTCTCAGAAATAACTTTACAGACGAAGAAATAGCTGTTGAAGAAAACGACGAATTTGAAATTGACTTTTCAGTTAAACTGAAATCAGAACCGGTCATAAAATGGTTTTTCAAAGACCAGCCGATTGTGAATTCCATTCGCGTGCAGACTAAATTACGCGCCGGAATTGCGAAGTTGTATATCACAAAATGTTCCGCTGAAGATTCTGGAGAATACTCGATTGTAGTTAAAAGCAATTCTGACGGAACTCAAAGAAGTCAAAAGTTCTTTGTGCAAGTTTACACCAAGCCTACTTTCCAAACTCCTCTGAAGAAAACGATGAAAGTAATCACACAGCAAGAACTAGTTCTCGAATGTAAAGTTTCTGGATTTCCGGAACCGATGTTGTTTTGGTACCACGATAACGAAATTTTAGAGGATAATGATCGTTTGTCAATTGATTACGAAAACGGACTTGCGACTTTGAAAATAGCGTCTTGCTATCTTGACGACAGCGGTGTGTACAACTGTAAAGCTATAAACACTGTAGCAACTACAAGTAGCTCGTGTGACGTTAATATATATTCCTTCCCGGAATTCCAACAAGGGCTAAGTGATATTGTTATTGAAAAAGGAAAAAATATCGAACTGGTTTGTAAAGTTTCAGCCCATCCACCGCCTTCGGTTAAATGGTACCAAAAAGGTCGTGAACTTAGGAACTCAAACGATATTCACGTTAGCCAAAGCGGAGACGAGTTTTCCCTCGTGATCAAAAACTCAAAATTTAGTCACGCGGCCGAATATACTTGTAAAGCTTCTAACATAGTGGGCGAGGCGAGTTCGCAATGTTACGTTGAAGTCGGAACGTTGCCTGTTTTCAAACAAGAACTAAAAAAGATGACAGATATTATTTCAGGGAATAAACTTGTTCTCCAAATTGAATACACAAGTCGTCCAATACCAGAGGTAAAATGGTTCAGAGACGGTACTGAATTATCGCTTGAAGATGAGAAAAACTGCTCGTTTTACCACGATGAGAAAAGTATAGCGAGTTTGACCTTTGACCCCGTAAATATCGATCATCAAGGATTTTACGAATGCGTTGTCGAAAATGTTATGTCATCAGCAAAATGCGATTGCCGAGTTTTTGTCTATTCAATTCCCAAATTTGTTGACGCTCTTGAAAATGTGGAAATAGTTGAAAACGAAGATTTGGCTTTAAGATGCAAAGTTATAGGTCATCCCGAGCCAAAAGTCGCGTGGAGTTTCAATTCGAAAGAGCTGGATGATATTCAAAATGAAGATTGTGATTTGGAATACGACCAGGGAATCGCGATTCTGAAAATAGCCAAAGTAAAAAGGGTTTACTCTGGAACTTTTGCGTGCAAAGCTTTTAACAGCGCTGGCGAGTCGTCTTCAGAATGTGCGGTTGAAATTTTAGTCTTGCCAACATTTCTGGAATTTCCTTCGAAAAAAGACGTTGAAATAGATTGTGGTGATAATTTTGAAATTGAGGCAAAGTTTGAAGGCGCGCCTTTGCCAGCTGTTTCGTGGTTCAAAAACGAAAACCGTCTGGAACAGAGCGGAAATTGTTCAATCAATATCGATGAAAACACAGCTTTACTTAAAGTCGTAAATTGCCAGGCGGAAGACTCTGCGATCTACAAATGCTGCTTGACCAACAAGCTTTCAACGGTTTCGAGACAACTTAATATCGTGATACTGAGCGCGCCTGTTTTCAACTTGGAAAATGACTTTTTGAATCTAAATACGGGAGATGTTTACATATTTGATCTGAAAGTTATCGGATCACCCAAACCATCACTAACTTGTACTGTCAACAAGCAACCTATCAGCAAATTTCCTCAATTAGCGCTGAAGGAAAAAGATTTCAAGCTTGAATTTAAAGAAGTCGATCCAAAATTGGCGGGAAATTATAACTTCAAGGTCGAAAACAAAGTGGGTAAAAATGAATTTGATCTCAAGGTCAACGTTTTGTCAGCACCTTCCTTCTTGAAACCTCTCGAATCGCAGCAGGTCAACATCGGTGATGACCTTTACCTCTTAGTGACCTTGAACAAGTGTTTCCCAGAACCCTCGTTGCTGTGGAAACACAACGACCGACCTTTAGTAGTTTCTGAAGAATTTGGCATTCTAATGCGTTGCGACGGTGATCAGTATATTTTGATTCGTGAAAATGTTTCTTTTGACTTTGTTGGCGAGTATACATGCGAAGTTTCGAACTCACAAGGAAAAACCGAATGCCGAGCAAAAATAACCGTCGAGGAACTTCTGATAAAACCCAAATTCGAGAAAATTCTTCGGGACGCTTTGGTTGACGAATCGAAACCTCTTGAAGTTGTATGTCATTTTGTCGCTAGCCCGAAGCCAACCATAACCTGGCTCAAAGATTCCGAACAAATATCCGAATCAGATGATTCATACAAAATAACGCGAGCTCAAAAAACAGCAACTCTCAAAATCGATTCAGCTCAACTTAAAGACTCAGGTCTTTACATGGTAAGAATCTCAAACAAAATTGGTGAAATACAAACCAGTTTCAAAGTTTCAGTAAAAGAACTGATAATAAAACCGAAAATTCTACAACAGCTCAAAGACATTTCGACCATTGAGTTTGAAACAATCGTACTTCAATGTACTTTTGAAGCAAAACCGGCGCCTGAAATAACTTGGTACTTCAATAATGTCGCCCTTACGAAAAAAATAATCGGAATGCTTATAGAGACTTCAGCCAGTGATTCCAAGTTAATTCTGGAAAGCGTCGGAGTTAAAAGAGCTGGAAACTACAAATGCCGTGTTAAAAACAAAGCTGGTATGACTAGTAGTGCTTGTAAAGTAGACATCGAAGTCAAACCGATTCCTCCAGCTTTAATCATGGATGACGTAATGGACGTTTCCGAATCGAGTGACATAACAGTCAAGTGTCTTATCGAAGGCAATCCTTTCCCTGGAATCAAATGGATCAAAAATGACAAAGTCATCACTGATACTAAATACTACGACATGTATGTGAACTCAGGAGGCGTTGCATGTTTAGGGTTCCGGGAAGTCAGAGTGGAGGATTATGGTGTTTATCAATGTCTAGCAGTTAACGCTTACGGAGAAGCTAGAAAAAACATCGAACTGATTGTAAATCGAAAACCAGTTAGACCAGAAGTCAGAAAACAGCTAGCGAATAAAATAGTTCGCGAAGGTCAGCCTTGCGTAATGACGTGTGAAATTTCAGGATATCCGATTCCTGAAATCCAATGTTTTCACGAAGGATACGAACTCGATAGTGATTCACACGTTCAGATTACCTATGAAGAAGAAGTGGTGACCTTGAGCATTGAGAAAACTGAATTAGATCACGCTGGAGTGTACTCAATTAAAGCGAAAAACGAAGTCGACCTTATTTCGGTCAAGGCCAAATTAACTGTTCAAGCAGCGCCAAAAACAAAACCAGTTTTTGAAATCGCCATGGAAAATTGTGACGCTATTGAAGGCGAAATCGTCACGTTGTCCAACAAAATAGTAGCTCATCCAGCACCTAATATCTCTTGGCTTCATGGCGGGCGCAGAATTATCAGCACGAAAAATCAGGAACTGAAATTTAGTGGCGGTTTTGCAACATTATGTATCAAAAAAGTGATGAAAACTCAAAGCGGCGAGTATACGTGTATAGCTAGTAACTCGGAAGGCGAAACGAGAGTTTCCTGTAACTTAACTACTAAAGCTTCACAGGACGCTGAAAACCGAATGCTGAGTTTCAACTCGTTGACGAATGTCGAAACGTCAGCACCTCAAATCTTACGTGATCTGCGAGACATTGTCTGTCAAGAAGGGCAAAATATAACTTTAGAATGCAAATTTATGGCAGCCCGTGTGAACATCACTTGGAAATTGAACGGAAACCCAATTAAACCAAATGAGGATTTTGTCATAACTAAAAACGAAGACATAACTTCGTTACAAATCCGAAACACGAAAATGATCAACGAAGGTCAATTTTCGGTCACACTCGAGAACCCAATGGGTTTGGTCGAAAGTACCTGTCAGGTTTCGGTTGGCCAACTGCCTGAGAAAAATTTAAAAGACATCCCGCCCCATTTTATAAAACCACTTCAAGATATGGACGTTGAGGACGGTCAACGGGTAGTTTTGGAGTGCAAGGTCGGAGGTCCGGAACCCATTGAGGTTCACTGGCTGTTCGCCGGGGAAGAAATCCAGAGTCACGGAGACTTCAAGATATCCTACCAGTTTGGAATAGCAAGGCTTGAAATTTTGGAAGTTTTTCCCGAGGATTGCGGAGATTATTTGTGTTTGGCTCGGAATGATTTTGGTCATGTAAAGACGGAATGTTTTGTAAACGTTTTGGAAGCAGAGGAAATTGCGAGGTCCAGTGAGGATTCCCCGGGCGGGAGTCGAACCCCAGAAAAACCGATTCTCATCAAAGAACTTCCCGAAGAACTTATGGTGATTGACGGTGACCCTTGCATCTTAGAGGTCAAGGTCAAATGCGTCCCAGATCCTGAGGTAATCTGGATGTATAACGGAGAGGCGATCGAAATGACGGAGTATTTGAGTAGCAACTTCCAAAACGGAATTGCCCAACTGAAATTCGAAGATATTTACCCAACTGATGCTGGATTGTACGAATGTAGAATCCAAAACAAAGTCGGGTTTGTTACTAGTAGTTGCATGTTATCAGTTGACGAAGAAATGAAAACGGAAGAAATTTTGATCCAACTTCAGCAAAGTTTGTCGAACGAAAACTTCCGCGGCATCAAATCGCCAAGTCGTCACAGTAGCGGGAGCATTCGTGAATCGCCGAGTTCAAATACGATGTCTTCTTTGAACGTGCACCAATGGACCATTGACAAAAGTCTCAAAATGAGAAAACAATCCGGAAAAGTTGCGGTCCTAACGAGTGATTTGCAAGATCGTGATTTTGTTCCAGCCATTAGCAACGTGCGTTCCGATAAGCCTCCATTTTTAGTGAAGAAGTTGCGAGACTTAAACGTTGAACACGCAGAATCATTCAAAATGGAATGCAAATTATCGCATCGAAGCGACGCTGAAGTTGCCTGGTTCTTAAACGGACTTCAAGTCAAATCAAACGATAATATTTTGATCACATTTGAAGACAAAATTGCTCTTTTCGAAGTACTTAAGGCGACGCCTGAACTATCTGGAGAGATAATGTGTAAAGCTATCAACCAAGCCGGAGATGTGTCTTCCAGGTGCCAAATTAAAGTGTTTCCCAAAATGAGAGTTGCACCCCAATTTGCAAGCGAACTGTGTGACGTAACATGTGAAGAACAAGACAATTTGACCTTGACGTGCGACCTTGATTGCGATTCAGAAACAGAGGTCGAATGGTACTTCAATGACCGCGCATTGCCCAAATTTTCAAAAGACATCAAAATGATTTTCGACAACCCGGTCGCTAAACTGGAGATAAACTCCGCAATGGTTTTGGACTCCGGGCGTTACACATGCGAAGCTTTCAACTCGGTCGGTGAAAGTTATTCGTGGTGTGACGTTTGCGTGCAAGAAGTCGTAAGTGGTTTATCGCCGATTTTTGTTGACAAACTTGTGAACAAAACCGTAATGGAAGGCGAACCGTGTGAACTTCTTTGCACTTTGCAAGAATACAGAGGTGTAGAGGTCAAATGGTTGCTCAATGGTAAACCATTAGTGGTGGGAAAAGATATGGATATCGTTCAGAATGGAAATTTACTCAAGGTCGTTTTCACTAAAACGAGAGTAGCAAACGGGGGAAAGTATACATGCAAAGCAATTGGACGAAGCTCGTCAACTTGGACTGGTTGTGAAGTAACAGTAGGGGGCGTGCCCAAATTCGTGAACAAACTTGAAAACACTAAAGTTCAAATCAGTGATGACCTTTACCTTCAGTGTGAGCTAAGCGGTCATCCGGTTCCAAGCGTCGCTTGGTTCCATAACAAGAAACCAGTCAAGGTCATGAGAAACTACAACACTGGTTATCAAGGTCAAAAAGCTTGGTTAAAAATTGAGAAATCCGATTTGAAACATGCCGGTGAGTATTTGTGTAAAATCAGTAACTCTTTCGGCGAGGCTATAAGTGTCTGTGAAGTTGGCGTCGGCGCTTCGCCCGGGTTCTTAGAAGAACTTGAAGACATCTTAGTCGTGACTGATAAATCTTTTCAACTAGTTTGCGAAATCAGCGGGGTTCCTTCGCCTTATATCGAATGGTACCATCCGGACGAACATACACGGCTTAAACTTAGCCGAAACGTGCGAACTAAATTTATCGACGGAACGGCAACTCTGCTAATTGACCGTGCGACTGAAGAAATGGCCGGAATTTACCACTGCAAAGCGCTAAACAGTTTCGGAAAAGCTGTCAGTACCTGCAAAGTAACCATCGGCTCTCTGCCCGAAGTTCTGACAAATATCGAAGACCAAAATGTCACCGTTGGAGAAACAGTCAAATTTGAGTGCATGTTTTCATCAGAAACGAACCCGATTGTAGTCTGGCTTCTAAATGGGTGCAATGTTTCGGGTATCGAAGGTGTCGAACAAGAAATAGGTTCAGATTGGGCTAGTTTAACATTCGCTTCATGCTTAGCGAGTCAAGCTGGTGAATATGTTTGTAAAATTGTGAACGATTTCGGAGAAGTTTTGAGTAAAGCGACCTTAAGTGTCGGAAGTCCACCTGTTTTCACAAAGAAACCACGTGAAATGGTTAAGCTATCAGAAGGAAAAGCGTTGAAACTTACAGCTGAAATTGATGGGTCCCCTAGACCTAAGTTTGAGTGGATATTTAATGACTCACCAATTGAAAAAGTTTGCCCAGATGTCAAAATAACATCACGTGATAATATTTTGTTCTTGGACATCGACAACATGACATCCAAATATGCCGGGAAGTATTTATGCAATCTGACAAACGACTTCGGGTCGGATCAGTCGATGACAAAGGTCATCATAGGTTGCAGTCCTGAAATATCGAACGATTTCCCGAGCGAATTACGAGTTAATATTGGCGAGCCGTTAGTCATACTTTGTGAATACACTGCGTTTCCGGAGCCTGAAGTTTTCTGGTTTAAGGACAAACGACAGCTAAGCGAGAAAGCGGGAGAAATTATTTTCTCCGAACCCAAAAACAACGCCTTCCAATTGAAATATCTGAACGCCAAAGCGGGTTTGTATTCGGTTAAACTGAAGAATAACTATGGCGAAATTACAGCTGATTGCAAAGTAGAAGTCGGCGGAAAACCAGTTTTGGTTAAACCTCTCAAAAACGAGCGACTCACCGAAGGAATGAATAGCAAAATCCAATGCGAGTTTTCATCCATGCCTGAAGCACAAATAACTTGGTTGATAAACGGAGTAGTTATAACTAAATACTCACGGGACCATAAACTGACCTCGAAAGAAGGGAAAGTATGTCTCGAAATCCACAAAGCCAATTCGACTTACTTTGGCGAACATAAAGTGAAAGCTTCAAATATGTTCGGAGAAACGGTAACAAGTTGTGAAGTTGAGAATGCTCTTTTTGCAAAGAAACCTTCAATTAGGACCCTGGATAAACCCGAAAGGTCAAATTCATTGGCACCTGATGACTTTTCAGCTGGCTATAAAAGTCATACAATTGCGAGAACAAGTGCTAAATCGACGCCTCCCGAAATAGAATACACTAAAAAGGAAGTTACGAGGAGTCTTTCGGATTCGAAATCAAAACAGGAAAAGCAGCAAGCCGAGAAAAATGAGGCTGAGCAAATATCGACTTCTGAGCCCAAAAAAGCTGAAATTAGTGATGAAAAATCCTGCAAAAAAGAAGAGAAAGCAGATAAGAAAACTGAAAAGAAGTTGCAAAAAGTTGAGAACACAGATGAAAAAAGTTCAAAAATTTCAATGGAAGCCGAAAAAGCTGAACTTGCGAAAGCAAAAACTTCAGAAAAAGTTGAAACATCATTTAAAAAACAAAAGGAAGAATCGAAAGAAACATTGGCTAAGACATCAAAAACAGAAATAGCTGAAAAATCAGAAGAATCGTTAGAAACTCCAAGAACCCCAAAAGAGAAACGAAAAACAATCGAACGCAAAACTTCTATGAGAGAACTGAAACCAACTTTCTCGCAAGACCTTCCTAGCTCGACTAGCTTGAAAACGGGCGAAAAACTCGAACTTTTGTGTCAAAGTTCAAATGACTTGACCGCTCAAACAGAAGTTAGTTGGTTTCACAATGGAACAGTTTTACGTCCTTTTTTGGGAGTGGAAACTTCCGTTTCCGGCAAAGAGTGCAAACTTACGATTGTTAACTTGAAGTTACGTCACAGTGGAAAGTACGAATGCAAACTTGTGAACAAAAATGGTCAGAGTATTACGTCAAGCGATGTTAAGGTCAGTGCGACATCCAACCCTGCGCTGCAATTTGCAAAACGAAATTCAACGATTGATATTTCGAAGCAGGAATCGATGATCCAATTGCCTTCTGACACTTCAGATTCGGGCCAAATTAGTAAAAAGCCAGCTTTCACTCGCAAACTAACTGACGCCAGACTATTTGGAGGTGATAACTTGAAGTTAGAGTGCGCTGTTACAGGTTATCCGGAACCAACCGTGAAATGGTTCCGGGATTCGCAGCGTTTACCCGAGTTTAGCTCAATCGAAAATGACAAAATTGCAATTGAAGTACCAAATGTAACTACCCAACATGCTGGGATTTACATGTGTAAAGTCACAAATTCAGCGGGTAGCGTTTCTTGCACTTGTCGTGTTACAATAACAGGGACTTTGAGAAGGCGAAATTCTCTAATGGCTAAATCTAAAGCCACGCTTTTAGAAACACCTGTTGAAAATAAAGAACTAAAAATTAAAACTTCGGAAGAAAATGTAGTCAAACTTCGGGGTTCAAAAGATGCTCTGACAATTTCAGAGGTTAAAAAGAAGACACTAAGTTGCATGGAATTGGAAACTGTTCATAAAGACGATCAGAAAACTTCATTGTCAAAATTGGACACTCCCAAAAAAATCGAAGAGTTACCAGAAATTAAAGAAAGTCCAAAGAAAGATGAAAAGGAGCCACAAGGTTCTGAAAAATTACAACACGATAAACTTGAAAACAAAAAATCTGAAAAAGACGAGACGAAAAAACTTGCTGATAAACCAAAAACTTCAGAAAATGAAGAAAAGTCTGCGAAAGATCCAAAAATTTTGGAACCTCAAGTAAAAGAAAAACACGAAAAAACCCCAGAACTGAAGAAAAAGTCGAGTTTTAAGAAAGAATCGATTTTTCAAAATGATGAAAAAGATTCAAAAATTTTGGAATCTCAAGTAAAAGAAAAACACGAAAAAACCCCAGAATTGAAGAAAAGGTTGAGTTTTAAGAAAGAATCAGAGGTTCACAAGGATAAAAATGTTGATACAATTTCGACAACCAAGAAAAAGACAGATGAAAATGAGACTACGAAGTCTAAGAAAAACGAGAAGGTTTTGGATCTTGAACCAGAACCCTCTAAAACCACAACTAAAATCGAAACGGAAAGTGGAAAAACCGTGACGAAAAACACTTCGGTTGTAATTGAAAGTCCAAGTGGCGAGAAAATTACGAAAACAGAAAAAAAAATCGAGTCTGAATATCAAAAGTTGAACGAGCAGGAAATTGAGAAAACCAAAGATTTTGTCAGAAAATTTACGGAAAAAAGCAAAACCGAAGAATCGAGCGCAGTTAAGAGTAAATTAACGAAGCAAATTTCAGTTGAGGCAAAATCCACAGAAAAAGTTTCTGATTCACCAAAGGCTGTGAAAAAGAAAAAAGAACCGACGTTGGAAAAAGAAGGCGAATATTCGAAAGACGTGAAATCTAAAAAGCCAAAAACTGAAGATTCCAAAGAAGGAAAAATGGATGCCTCATCAGATTTGAAGGAACCGAAATTGAAACAGAAGGATAAAAAGACGGAAGATGTTGAAAAATCAAAAACCGACGAATCGAAAGTTAACGTTGAAGTTAAAGAAAAAACGTCTGGAGAAAAAGAAGTAACAAAAAAGTCAGAAGCGAAACAAGAAAAGATCAAAACGACTGAAGAAACGAATGATGGCGAAAAGGGTGAAACAACAGCCGAGGGAGCAAAATTGAAATTAAAAAAATCGAAATCTAAAGAAAGTAGCGACTCAAAAGACAAAGATGTAAAAAACGCAGATGTGAAAGAAACAAAAGAAGCTAAAGAAGCAAAAGATTTGAAAGAAACGAAAGATTCGAAAGCAAAAGAGTTGAAAGAAGCAAAAGATTCGAAAGAAGCAAAAGATTTGAAAGAAACGAAAGATTCGAAAGCAAAAGAGTTGAAAGAAGCAAAAAATTCAAAGGAAGCAAAAGATTTGAAAGAAACAAAAGATTCTAAAGAAGCAAAAGATTTGAAAGAAACAAAAGATTCGAAAGAAACAAAAGATTTGAAAGAAGCAAAAGATTTGAGAGATGCAAAAGATTTGAAAAAAGCAAAAGATTCGAAAGAACCAAAAGATTTGAAAGAAACAAAAGATTCGAAAGAAGGAAAAATAACAAAAAAGCAAAGAACGAACGAAACCGACGAATCACAAAAATCAAAAGTTTCGATCAGTGAGGAAAAAAATGAGGAAGATACGAAAGAATCTAAGTCCAAAACCAAATTGAAATCCAAAGTGGCAGTTAGTGTCTTACAAGATGAATCAAAAACAAGCGAGGATTCGGAACTTAAATCTTTGAAACTCAAATCAAAAACTGCAGCTGAAAAATCAACAAGTAAATCAACAGTTAATGTCAGTAAAGAAGAACCTGAAAAAGATTCGGGTAAAAAATCGATAGCAAAATCAACGAGTGAACTGAAATCAAAAACTGACGAGCTCTCGCAAACTAAGGAAATAGAGCAACCGATACTGAAAATAAATCACGCCGATATCAATCGTATTTCGTTTTCGGAAGAAAAAACTTCTGATCTGAATGTTACAAGACCTAAAAAAATCACATGCAATTCCCAAAAGTGCAAACCTCAGTGTCTTGAAAAATCAAAGCAATTAGCGTTGCCGAGCTTTCTTACGGCTCCAAAAGTTGAATCGAAAAAATCACCTATTGGCTCTGTGAAACGAGATCCTTCTCAAGACGAAAGTGATCAATCTTCAACTCCTACACAACAGTTGTCGAGATCGTCTAGCCGAAAAGACGTGTTAAAAAATGAGTCGAAATTTTTCACGGCCAGTTTCGATCTTGACGAAGATACTGGGACTCTGGAAAAAAGACCCGCAACTGTTTCAGAAGCGGTGAAAGATGAAAATTCGACCCCTGCGAAATCCAAGTAAGCAAAATGAAACTAGGAGACTCTATCGTTTTTTTTTCAAGCACAGTCGAATTTTAAGTGATATTGAGCTATGTAAAAGCTGTATTCTGTTTAATTTAAAGGAGATATTTTTTGTAGAAAACTCAGCGGCTGTTGTCCTCCTTCTTTTTATTATCAAAAAACTTCTGTTGTTTTTTTGATAAACATTAGACTATCTGCATAATTATTTTGTATGTAGCATTACATGGATGAGGCAATAATTTTCAGCCCAGAAAAATCACAAAAAGATGTAGTTTTTAAACAAGAGTCCAAAAGTAGTTTTTCATAAAAAACTACACGGCTTTAGTCAATTCCATCGTGACTAAATATTATCAATAAGCTTATCGTCCAGGATCTCGGACTCTGCCACATCTCGAAGTGACTCAGACGACAAGCAGCTCCTAGGAGCGACTGAAGATGTGGCGTCCCTGGTGTCAGTAGTGCCTCAGATGCCCCTCTTCACCCTGCCTCTGGTTGACTGTAGTGTCCAGCTGTCCAAGGATATTTCACTCATCTGCAGAGTCAAAGGTCAGTCGAGTGACATTCAGGTTTAAAAAAAAATTTGTGTTGGTAATCAAATGTGATAAAAAATCAGGTTTTTTGCTTGCAATCATCAAGCGCTTGATTAAACTGTATACTTTAAAAAACCCTTGTGTTCGAAAAAGCTCTTGTGTTGATTCTGAAAAGTGAAAGCTTGTGAAATGCTCAATGTGAAATGTAAAAATTTAACTGCTGAAAAGCGTTTTGGAAAATGGACACAATAAAATGAGTATTAAAGTATGGGAAACAATACGCTCAAAGTTGTTCCAACAAAGATTAAACTCGGGTTGACGATGTCAAATTCTGATTATCTAATCTCTGTTTTGTTTAACTTTTGCTACGAAGTCTTCGTGATTGAGAAATTTTGATATCATTTTTTTAAGTATTATGATTTTTAATTATGTCGATTCATTCGATATTGTGCTGATGTCATTCTCATTCCGCGAAAACAATGAGAAGCAAAATTCGGAAGTCGGACATATGGAAGTCAGTCAATATGGACTGAAATAGACTCAAGATAGTTGTCCACACCTATCCACTCACTGTCAGAAAAGTCTGAATTCTAAACAAGGAGGAAACTACCGAAGAATTCCTGTACATGACTCAAAACTAAACTCTAAGAAACGACAGTAAATTGCGAATTCCAGAAAACTGGTCTGTTTTTATCGCCGTTCAGATTGACGAAGAGGAAAGCGGATGGGCGGCTGATCTCCAAATTTATTTCTAAATCATTTTCAGTTTTTTCTTAGCTTTTAGCAGAGCTCATTTTTTGAGTTATGACCTGTCTCAGTCCTCTTTACTGAAGAAAAAAGATTTATTTTTTTTCCTTTTTTTCTTTTATTTTATCACTGTGTTGGGACATTATGCAATTATTGTTTTTTTGCAAGAAAAACTGGTAAAACATAATGTCTTAAATCCAAGTTTCAATCAAAAAAATTATAAAATATCAAAAATTGACAAAAAATTTATGATTGGGGTGGTTTTTTTCAGTTAATTTTCTGTGGTTGGGAAAAAAACTAAAAAAAACTTCTTTCAAAAATTTTTTTCAGAAATAGCTTGTACCAAAATAATTGAAAAAAACTCCTTCTCCAAGTTCGAAGTTTTAAAATAATGAATCAAAAACTGTTTTTGTAGAATTCTGGGGTCTAAAAACTGCCGTATTGGGCAAGTTTTGAGCTGATTTATGTTCGGTGTGAAGGTTTTATTCAGGATGCTGAAAGAGTAGCGCGCAAGGCTTTACTTATTTATGCGCGGCAATTTGTTTCGCACAATTTAAAAAGTTCCAAATTGAAACAAGGATAGCCGATTACTGTGCAAGTAGCACAGAATGTTCCGACGATAGTCTTAAAGTAAGTACATTAAAAAAAATTTTGAAATTAGTCTCGTTTTTTGTCGCGGTGTCATGAAAAAAGCTTCCCCAATTTCGAAGTTTTAAGATAATGAAATAAAAATTGTTTTTGTAGAATTCTTGGGTCTCAAAATTGCTATTTTGGGCATGTTTTAGACTAATTTATGCTCACTGTGAGAAAATTTTATTCAGGAGGCTGAAAGAGTAGCGCGCAATTCGCAACTTATTTATGTGCGGCGATTTATCTTGCACAGTTTAAAAAAGTCCAAATTGAAAGAAGGAGAGCTGGTTTCGGTGCAGGTAGCACAGAATGTTCCGATCATAGTCTTAAAAAGTACAATCAGAAATTTTTTTTTAAAATAGTCGCGTTTTTATCGCGGTGTGATAAATGGAGCTTCTGTTAGTTCGAATTTTTGAAATAATGAATCGAAAACTGTTTTTGTTGAAATCTGGGGTCTGAAAACTCCTATATTGGGCATGTTTGGTGATTATTTATGCTCGCTGTGAATGTTTTATTCAAGATGCTGAAAGAGCAGCGCTCATGGCGCAACTTGCTTATGCGCGGCAATTGATCTCCCATAATTTAAAAAACTCCAAATTGAAACAAGGAGAGCCGGTTTCTGCGCAAGTAGCACAGAATCTTTCGATCATATTCCTACAAAAACAACAAATTTTTTTTCATATTTAGTCTCGTTTTTTTTCGTCGTGATTCGATGAAAAGAGCTGAGCAAAAAAACTGTAGAGTAGGCGTATTCAAAGTTCAGAGTAAAATCAGCGATTTGAAGAACATTTTTTGTAGAGAAGTGACTAGAAGAACGAGAAAATCAAAAAAAAGTTTTAGTTTGCAGTTTTTTGATTTATTGAAATTTTTGATTCCAAAATGGCGCTATAATAAAAAACATATAATGTTACCATAGTAAAACTAAGTTTTCATGATTTAAAATAAGCAAATGTAAGCTTTCATGCAATTGAAATAAGACTGTCCGCTTGCTTTATTCGCTCAAAATAATACGAAAAATTTCAAACCGGTTTTTCTCAACACTTGGAAAGTATTTGACATTTTTTAATGTGGTAGAAATCACAAGAGCAAGGGCTTCATCATGAACTATAATTCAACCTAGTCCAATCATTATTAATGGCACCTGATTTTGAATGGAAAACATTCGATGCAGATTTTTTTTATTGGAAATTTGTAATTGAAGTAAATTTGAAAATTTGAAAAAAAATTAAAAAGTGAAAAAAGTTTTCAATTTCTTCAGCAGTGATTTTTTGATTTGAAAATGCTATAAAAATAGTATTTGGACTTTGTGTTTGGACTCTTCTAATTTCTTGGTTTCTATTTCTGTGTCATGTGCACCTTCGCTTTTGTTTTGCCTTTCAATTTTTATGCTTTCATTTTGGATTTACAATTAGAACTATAATTATAGTTCGCTTTAATTTTGAATTCATATTAAGAATTAAAACTGATTATTTACATGACTAATTCTATAATGCTGTTATGGGAAAAACCAGTGAGGTAGTGGTCCTCCCACCACAACGAATCGTGTTACCAATTTTCTACTACAATTTTCTGATTTCTAAAAAGTTAACAAAGTCGAACTGTGCTTATATTGTATTCTCTAGTGTTTCAACTATGCTATTTCAATGAACTTTGTATAAGGTTGTAAGTTGTTCAGCTTGCCAAGATGGACCGTAGAAGATGCATTTATTGTACAACTTTAAATTTCTACCAAAAATAACAACTAGAACTTGTTGTGTTTGGTTGATTCTGACAAACTAAGATGTAAAAAAAAATCTTATATTTTTCCTCTCAGTATGAAAATTATTTGGTAGGTGGATGATTGGAAGGCATACTTGAAATTTTGTTATTTGAAATTTTAATACTTGAATTTGGCTAGGCATACTTGAAATTTTGTTAGAATGCGACAAAAGTTTTTTTGAAAATGGGTAACAATGAGTTTTTGACAAGTTTTTCAAGAGTATTGAACTTTCCGTAACAATGAGTTTTAGAATTATCCGTAACAACGAGTTTTTTTAAGAGTATTGAACGTACTGAGTACTCCTTTATAAGTCTTGGTAATTTTTTCTTCAGGAAAAAGTCTTAAAAATTGGTCACGCTGATTTTTTGCGGTTTGTCTTTTGATTGCTTCTTAGGATTACGTCTCAAATCGCATAAACGCGTAAAAAAGAGAAATTTTCTAGATGGCATAATTTTCATGCAACAATTGCATCTAAAAATTTATTGAGAGATTTTTTTAAAGAAAAAGGTTTGAAAAGTAGTTAAGTTATCAAACAAATTGTTGTTTGACATTATTTCAAAAAAAAAGTTTTATCAAAAGATTAAATTGTTACTAATTAGTTTTTTGTGATCAATTTTTGCAGCAAATGTGCCATTCAACAAATGTTTGGAATCAAATAGTTCAAATCTTGTTCACGCACCTTCTCGTTCCTACAAAAATAGAAATATGTATTGAGAAAGCGTTTGAGTGTCATGGAAAACTTGAAACTTATGCCATTTGGGAAAAAATCTGTTTTTATGCCACTTTGGAATTAGGCCTTTTGGGAAGTTACCCTTTTGGGTTCAAATCATTTTAATTTTTAAAAAGAAGGCAAACTCCACTAGCGAACAGCGAAAGTGTAAAAGTGATCGACTTCTAATTTCAAAAATGGAATTTAATTATCAGATTTCCCAGCAAAAAAATTTACCTTTTGATCCAGTTTTCCTAAATTGATTTGTTTTTATCAAAAAAGCACTTATCATAAATTGTTCGTGAAATTCAAAGAGTTCTAAGAGGGTGTAGTTTTTCTTTAAATTTTGAAAGTTGATTTTTTTTTTAAAAAGTCAGTTTTTTTTGTTTCCTCGCGTTCATATTACTATTTTCCAAGTGTTGGCTATGTTTGAGTGCTCATTTTTTGCTGTCCGTAATCCGTAAAAACCCGCGATGCTTGTTTTCGAAAGGCTTGTTTCATTTTAATTCATCTAGACATGACCTTTAAAAGTAACCTTGTTTTTGAAGAGAATGTCTGAGCGTTGATTTATTCTGATAGTACTTATTGTTAGATGTCATGTTGGACGAATAAATTAATCTGCTTTAAAATATGCTTGACATACAATTTTCATAAATGAAATTTCGGGTCATGTTAACTATTTCCCCCTATGGTACCTTGTAAAGAAACTCCCTCCCCCCCCCCCCCCCACCTATAAAGATTGTCGTCCAAACAAGGCAGTAACTCCGTTTTAAAGTTCATATATGCTCAGCTTGATTGGTTTCGTATTTCTCAGAAATTTGTTCTGTCACAACATTCCTGTTGGTTGACGTTATTTCAATCTGTATTCCTATTGGTTGACGGTCCTATTGCATGATCCGAATCTTCAATTTAAACTTTTTTTGAAATCAATCCGTGAGTGAAATTGTACGACAAGCATTTTTATTTTATGTAATTGTATGACAAGCAATTTTTGTATATGTAGGTCAACCCGTGTTTTAAACTCAGGATACATAAATTTCAGTTTGGATCTGCTGTAACTTGTCTGGAATTGCTGTAATCTTTTTAATCGACAATTCGGGCGACCACTATCTTGTCCCTTCTCAGTTTAAACCACATTTGGCAAACAATGCCCAGCTGTTACGATGGACCATTCATTTTGAATTGAAGCGCCGCACATAGAATCGAATATCTCCAGGCGTACGAGAAATGGGTAATTTCTCTCGGGAACTATGGTGCCATTTATTATTTCAAATATTTCAAGGTCCAAATCGAGTTGATGCACTATTAAAAATTCAGAACGTTTAGAGCAGTTAAGAAAATAAATTAATAACCATTTTTCAGTGCTAAACTTCATTTTTTGCTCACACTTCAATTTGCAAACAAGTTTAAAAAATGCTAGACGCCTGAAAAAAGAGATAAAAATTTTCTTTGCAAACTAGCAACTACCATTGCAGTAAATTCATGTTTCTATTGGTTTGTTTTTAAATCTATTACATAACAAGACTGCTCGTATCAGGGCGAAGCCCTGAATGTTCCGACTGCCCTTTAATGTTTAATAAAATGTAATAAAAATGAAAAAAAAATTTCGAAAATTTTATGAAAATCATCCCCCCACACGCCATATAAAGTACAAAAGGATAGATTTCGCTCCTTGTAACGAATCAATTATGGCAAATAAGCTTCTTCCAACTAATTTGGAACGATTTTTAAGACGGATTAAATCTCCGCTTACGCGTTAATAGCGCGAATTAAATCGCGCGTTATTTGTCCCAAATTGGTCAAAATGGCAATCTTTAAACCCTCATAACTTTACGAAAAATGATCACAGGTGAAATATCTTTTCAAATTTAAGCTCAGGACAACAATAGTTTTCGAATGATATAAAAAATTTCCGTCAAAAATGGCTAGTTAAAAAGTCGAAATTTGTCTGAAGAAAAAAAAAAACCCACCCCGAGCACAAATATTCCGTTACTTTCGTATCGAAAGTCGGAACAATAAACGATCTCAAAAGCAATGGTCCCAAAACAATACCCTGTGTTGCCATTACTGAGTATTTGCCATGTCAGAATAAAAATTTCTAATTTTTACACATTGCTTACAGTATCTCTAAAAATCATTCAAGAGATTTGAAGCAAAATTGGAAAAACCATACTTTAACTATATATTATGCTACGACACTTGCGCTCTCGATCTTTTATGAGGTATGAAATTTCTCCTACAAAAAATTGTATGCTATAATTCCCACCAATCACAAAAATGAATGTCATGCAAAACTTAAATATAATGGAAAAACACTTTTCATTTAGTTTCTTGCGTACAGAAAATTGTATGACAACTCAATTATAAGCATTATTTCTGTACGGAGCACGTTTCTTGGATGTAGTTGTACGAAAAAAAATCTACGGAGACACGGACAAATAGCTTAGATGTTTCTGCGTCGAAAGCTAAATGCTAAATTAAGTTAATTCGTAGAGACACATATCTTGCGGCCCGCAAAAGTAAATTTACTTTTTTGTGCTTCTTAATTTCTGCAGATATCATGACAATGTTCAACGAGAGAAAAAATCCAATCTTACTGAGTAATTTTTGAAAATTTCATTAAGAAATCTCTGATTTATTGAATTTTCTATAGAATCCATAAATTTTTTTTTGGTTTGGTCATCAAAGGAGTCTATTTAATTGTAAAAGTCTTTTGAATCTGAAGGACAGTTTCAAAAACGATCTTTTTTTTATAATTCGCAACAATGTTAGAAAAAGTAGTACAAGTTAACAAACATACTTCCTGTACCAAATCTTTTGTGTTCGTTTAGTTTATCATCTTAATACCTTATTTTTTAATACCTTGTTCGGAACTCCGCCGAATTGATTTGAAATTTAATTTTTTTTTCGAAACTCAGGCTTTTGCACAAACTGACCAATATTCAGTATAAAAAACATTGCTACTTTGTTTTTCACAATGAAAAAAAACCAACGTTATTTTTGAAATTTCAGTTTTTAGATAGACATTTTTGGTCATGCGTTGTTTTTTATACAAACAAAAAGCAAAATGCTGGTATCATGACACAAAATTGAACCTTCTGGTTGCCACAATTGCTTTGCAAAAAAACTCCAAATAAAACAGTGTCAATAAGTTTTGAAATTATTTCGCAAGGGATTGAGTTTTTGTTCTCAAATTGTTTTGTTTTGTCATTTCGTACGAATCATTAGAAAAAAGTTTAATTTGGTTGATTCATCTGAACAGTGCACTAATGATTTGAAATTTTTCCAAAAAATGATGTTGTAATATCATTCTAATAGCGCCTTCTAGGGGCTTAAGCTGGTTTTTTGGTAGCAAGGATAAATTGTTTCAAATTTCAAATTTTTCCATCCTGAAATTTAGTTTAATAAAGCAAACTTTTTCAATTTTTTTTCTCGACTATCGCTGCACTTTTATTACAACAGATAAAATTTCGCGATTAGTTTTCCAATAAAATTTTTGTAACCTTTGAGAACAAAACGCTTTCTTTTTTCCGCAAAACATTTTTCAAGCCCAGTTATGATACTTAAAAAAATATATCCATTCATCTGAATCGAATCAGATTTTATTATTAAGCAATAAAGAACAGTTGTTTTTTATTCGTAGAAGTTTCTCAATTTTGAAAAAAAATTTCTCGTTTGAAAATAAAATTGAAAATAATAACAACACTGCTCGTATATCATGACAGATCTGCAACTGTTCCGACTGTTGCTTAATTGGTCTCATGTAGTAGTTTTTGGATACACCTTTCATAAAAATTAAATTTTACATTGCTAATTTTGAATTTTTAGTGCTAGAATTTGTGTTGTATTGAAAATAAATAAGTCTGATAATATGCTTCATTTCATTTTAAAACGATGTTAAATCAAAAATGTTGGCCATGAATTAATAATTCGATTAAGTTTAAAGTATCATTAATAAAATCTGCCAAACCCTCATAAACTAACTACTCTAGAACTTGGCTAAACTAGCAATTTTAAACTCCGAGATCTCAACAAAAAACTTTGCGGTTTAAATTATATTTTGATTATGAGTTCAGGTAGTCACTTTTCTTAGAGTCCATCAAAATTGCCAGCTAAAAATTCGAAAGTAGTCTGGGGTAAAAATCATCCAGCAAAAAATTGCGTCGCTTTCATTTACTAATGTTGAAAAAAGAATGAGAATAGTAGGGAGTTATTCTCATGATGGAGGGACCAAATGGTTGAAAAAATTCAACCAATCATAAACAACAGAAATCCTTATTTGCTGAACAGTTCTAAAATTGAACAAAAGTCCAAAATGCGCAGAAATTGAAATATACAGTGCTGATTTAAATTATCCGGACGAAACGAATAAAACTTGAATTTTCAAACACGTCTTTCTCAAATTGGGGTAACATTAAACAAAAGTGAAGAGTACAAAAATTGCTTAGTTTTTCATCAGAATTTTTATGGTGCATCTTTTTCTGAGAAATTCTCAACCAACATTTTACCCTAAAAATGGGTCATTTTGTCTTGGTCCAATTAATCAAGAGTTACACTGAAACTACTTTGTTAATTGATGAGGAATATATACAAAATAAGCCTCTTACACAGCCCAACAAAGTTTTAGAGGGAATAAATCTCCAAAAACCTGTTTAAGAGAAAATATTTTTGCTTGACAGTCAAGAAACGTAATTTTTTTAAAATTAAAATCAAAATCTTCAATTAAAAACGAATTATAACCAATTTAAACAAATTTTTGGAGATTTAACCCCTCTAGAACTTTGTTAGGCTATATGAGCACTTTCTTTTGATGTATATTCTACATCAATTAACAAAGTAGTTTCAGCGTGATTTTTGTTTAATCGATCAAAGCCAAAATGACCCCTTTTTGGTGTAAAATTTTATTTTGGTTCAGATATTCGGACAAAAAATTGCACCATATTTGTTCTGATGAAATTCCAAGCAACTTTTGTTCTGTTCTTTTTTGTCTAATAAAAAACCCAATTTGAGAAAAATGTGTTTGAAAATTCAAGTTTTTTTTTCGTTTTGTCCGGATAATTTATATCAGCACTGTAGCATGCACAGCCCGTGTAGATACACTAAATATCGAGTTTTGTTCTTCAAATTGTCTTAAATCTTTATCTGTGAAAAAAAAAATTTCCAATATGACTTTGATGTGACAATGTTTGAAAAATCATTTAACTGCAGTTAGCATATTTTGCAACGGCCAGCATTATCTGAATGGCCTGAATTTATTTGCACACTTTAAGTTTTTGCAATTTATTTGAGATTTTTAAATACTCAATTCTGAAAGTAACTGAAAAAAAATTCCACCATTTGGTTCCTCCATCATAAAGGACGCCACGAGAGTAATATTGAAATCAAGTGACAACTGAAATAGAACCAGCAAAGAAAACAATTTGAACTCATTTTCGATCTAAGTTGAGGACACGTCAGTTGGTCGCAAATCAAGTTTTTGATGAGAAGCGTAGCTACATTAGAGGCATCACTCAACATACCTTTTTGATGTTCTCTCGATGGAAATAAATTGAAAATAAATTTTAGGAAAGAATGTGTTAAAATATGTCTAATTGATTACTTGAGACAAATTCATTTGTTACATTTAAAATGCTGAGAAAAACTTGAGAATGGGATGATATCTCTTTTTAAATATTTTTACCATAAGTTTACTGATGAGCTGCACCAAATAAAGATCTTCTCTTAAATAAAGATCAGCTTATGGTACCTAGGAAAGAATAACCACTCCTATAAAAAAAACTTTTTCAACGATTTCCTCTCCCCCTTGTAATGGGGAGAAACAGCCAAAGAGATCTTATGTTGCTTGATAGGTGTACCGAAGCCTGACATTATCTGGTGCAAAGATGGGAGAGTGCTTCGCAATGGGTACAAACACAAGATGCTGGAGGATGCTGGCCTGAATATACTGGAGATCAGGGGCATCAAGTTGGACGACCAGGCTACCTATACGTGCAAAGCGAGGAACTCACAGGGCCAGACAGTGTCCGAGTGCTTCCTCAAAATCGTCGGTATGATCAAATAAATATTCTGCATCTCTTTAATTACCCCTTCACGATTGCTTCTTATCTGCTCTTTCATTGGCTGTTGATGAGAGCCAATGAGAGTGCAGAGAATTCAATTCAGAATTGATAGGTTTCTAGCGATTTTGTTCAATCTCAAACCCAACTTCTTTGTCAACAACAGCTGAAAAACCATGTCTGGAAATAGTACATGCCTATCATGTGAGATAATCGTTCAGTGAATTAACCAATTGAAAAACACTTGTCTCGCAGGGATTAGAGAAATGGGCGTCTTAAGGAGGGGGGAGGTAGGGAATAGTTGAACAGATCAAAAAAGTTTCTCTGTAGCCTCCTTTGGATCTACTTTACAACCTCCACTCCTTTTCGGGGGAGGGGGGATTGTTAAGTAGATCCCCTCCTTTTAATTGATAACTCGATCTTCGGCGTTCTTACTTGCCAATGAGTAAGGAAAGAAGCCTGGTTTTGCGATGGTGGTTTTTCAAATTAGTTGAATACATAAAAGAAAACCTGCACATACGCTAACCATAGTCATGAGCAGATATGAAATGTTTTCGAAATCATGAAACTTTCCAAGACATTCCCACTGGATGGTAGTCAATTTTGACCTTTTTAATCAGAAACGTTACAGCTTTGATTAATAAAAACCGATAGAAAAGGGTTTAACCAAAACATCAAAAAACTCGCGAAGCGCTATAGATGATTGGGAAAATAATTTATGATAAATTGCAACAAAAAAGTAGTCATAATTATTTCAGTTTGAAAGAATTAACGGTTTTGTCAAAATGAAAATCTTTAAATGTAATATTATTTAAGTTTATTACTTGAGATTGAGGTCTGTATGATTCTCAGAGGATCTATTAAAAGCAATCAGGCCTGTCTAAACATAGTCCATTTAATTGTCAAGTTTGTTATAAGTATCGATCAAGATATAACCGAAAAGATCATCTAGCATGAAATAATGAAAAGTGTTCTAATATTTCAAGTTTTTTATAATTATCAAACAAGATAAAATGGAAAGAACTATCTAGCATGCAATAATTAAAAGTGTTTGTGCTGTTTAGTGGTCAATCGCAACTGCCTCCCCCTCAGTCCCCCCATGTTTCTGCGACCAGTGCTAGACATTGTGGTACCAAGTGAGGGACACACTGCCAGATTCGAGTGCCAAGTGCACCCTGGCTCAAACTCATCCGAACACACCACATCCTCCTCAAGCACACTCCACATGTAAGAATTTCGAAAGATTGTTCGAAAAAGTCAAACAAAAGAGCTAATTGTAAAAAGAAAATTATGCTATCCCGGGTTGACCAAAAATGCTTGTCATACAATTTTCATATTTGAAAAAGCGCTTGTCATACAATTTCGTACAATTCCATAGATACAGAAAATGTTTAAAAAAACTCTAAGACAAGCATTTTTTCATATACCAAAAAGTTGATTTTGAAAAAAAATTGTTTCTCTAAATTTTGAGATGTGTTCGTGACCGAACACAAGTGACTTAAACCATGGTTTACTAAAAACTAGAGTCTTCAAATAGTTAATCGTCTGACATTTACAATGCATTGGAATCAACCTGAGTTGTGTAACAGTTCTCTTCACAAATAATATACTGAAATCATCACACTTTTAAGATTTTCGAAGATTTTTTTTAAATTAGAATTTTCAAATTATCAGACATTGATCAAGGCATATATAAACAGGCCATACAAAAGAAATAGAAGTGTTTTGCTTGTTTGAAAAAAGTTATCCAGAGAAATGGAAAAAAAATCGAAATTTTGTGTATCCAGGACTACGTTATGCAGACAAAAAATTGAAAACTGCTAAAAAAAAGTTTTTGGAAAATGTTTGTTTGTGTACAAAACTCAAAAAGCGGTTAAAAACAAACGGGCCAATTTCAATATTACTTCGAAAAAATGCTAATCGCCATCAAAAAAACGCTAATCATACAATTTTTATATATGGAAATTGTATGATAACCATTTTTTTCCAGAAAAAAAAACATTGTTTTTTTTTATCACCAGACTTTTTTATTTGGTTCAAAAAGCCGTAGAAACTAGTTCGAATCTTTTTTCAATGATTTTTTGAAATTTTATGAAAAATGTATGGCTAGCATTTTTCCATACATTTGATGTATGGAATAGTATGATAAGCCTTTTCGATGAAGGAATTGAAAGATGAGCATTTTTGGTTTCTGGAGGTCAACACGGGATTATTGGTCCAATTTTTGTAACAAAAGTAACCGAACAATTGTGCTTGGTGTAGATTTTTTTTGTTCAGACAAATTTCGACGTTTTAACTAGCCATAGACTTATCACTGCTCCATAGACCTTAAAAGTCAGTCGGAGCAATCAGGGCTTCGCCCCGATACAAGCTGTCTTGTTTAGTTTATGCCAAACTGTGGACAAGAAACGTACGGTTGTTTTTCGACTCGTTTCAAATTTTGAATTTGAAAGCAGCTAACTATCCTAAGACTTCTTAATTTGACGTCGTAAAACAGTTTTTCCACTCCTTGTAGGCAGTAAAAAACGTGTTAATATAACTCTGAGTGATCTCAATGCAAATTTTTTCAGACAGAAACCAATTGCTCAAGATCACCGCTATTGTATAAAAATTGGCATTAATTGTAGTTCTTAGAGATTTGCAAAGTTAATTTTTTAAAGTACAATTTTGATCTCCTTAATTGCTATTTTTGAGACAAACTTGCTGCTCACAATCAACTGAAGTTTTAGTTTTGCTTAAATTTTTTCCAATTTTGCAAAAATTTTTTATTCAATATATTTGCCTGTCCAAGTTTTCTGAAATATGTTTGAATCGTTAGCCATAATCTTGACTAATTTGAATAAAGTAGTTACCCGGGTTGACCAATATTTCTTATCATACATTTTCCTTATATGAAAAACTTCTTACCATACAATTCCATACGTACAGAAAATTGTATGGAATCTCTATAAAAGGCATTTTTTGAAAACTATGTGATAAGTGTTTTTCCATATATGAAAACTGTGCGATAAGTATTTTTCCATAAATCAAAAATTTTGATTTTTCTAAATTCATTTTCTGAAAATTTTTGGGTTATGTTTGTCACCGAATGCAAGTGACAAATACCTTGGCTTACTAAAGGTGGAGTGACCAAAGGTTGGACGGTCTTGCATTAACAAGGTATCGAAAACGACCTGAATTGTCCTAAAGCTGTCTTACACAAACGATAAAACGAAAGTAAAAAATTTTCAAATTTTGGCAAAAAAAATGCAACGATGATTAGTTTCAAAACTTGATTATTCAAATTATTAAGGTACTGGTCAAGGCATACATAAACATGCTATACAAAATGGATAGAAGTTTGTAGCGTTTTTGAACAAAGTTATTAAGCAAAAAGGGAAAAAAATTCAACATTAGTGCATACAGGACTACGTTAAGCACTTATAAAAATTGCATGCTTCAAAATTTTCTCTTTAATGATTAGCATTTTCGGTCTATAGAGGTCAACCCTGGTTCGCCTGAAAAACTGATCATTTTTTTGTTGCCACAAAAAACATTTTGACACAAAAATCACCTCTTACTCTCGTTTTTCTCACCAATTCAGGAGCGCTGGGCCAACGAAACTGCCGATAGTAATTTTTACCAATAATTGTATCTTGAAGTTAAATCCGTATCTTGTAAAGCGTGAATGGTTAGATTTTTTAGATCAAAACCTGTTGAATCCTGCATCGAAAACTTACAAGCAAAATGCAACAAAATTAGGCAAAAAAAAACACTTCTTGAGATGTTACTTTGGATGCAAAAATGAAGAAGTATCGCTATTTTTTCAAAATGTATACTTTGATTTCAAAAAAAGGCAAAGAAAGCGGGGAGGAAATATGTATTCAGATGTTTTTCTGAAGAAATTGTAACCCCTTTGAAATTTTTTCTATGCAAAATCATGAAATCCAAACAAGATTCAGAGTTTGAATGTTATATCATATGAATGTTCCTATTCGATCGATTTTTGAAAACTAAAAAAATTTGTTTTGGTTTATAAAAAAACAAAACTAAAATATTATTTTTTGACATAATTATAATAAATAGAGCCACCCGAGTTGATTTCTCATGGAGTATCAGCGCTGTATCTGCGCAAAAACAGCGACCACCATCTATGAATCAGCAGTTTATAGCAAAATTAAATCCTCAATAGCAATGAAATCGCGTTATAACTTAACTGGAGCTTGTTAGTGGTGAATTATTGATGAAAAACGCTTTTTTTGGGGGGTTCAAATTTAGCAAGTTATGTCGAAATTAGATCTCAGAAAATTCCACTGAGTTACACATCTATGACTTTGTTGCAACTAATTTATAGATTATTTGAGTAGATAAGCGATATGAATTGAATCCCTCTTGATAATTAATACTACCGTTTTGCCCTTTCGATAGTTCGGGAAAACTTTTCTAAAAATATAGAGATAGTTTCTTCTTTATCAGTAAAGAGAAAATTCTGAGATATTGCTGATTTATCATTTGGATTTTTTTATAGTACATGCAAGAAAAAGCGATAAAAATGGGCTCTCAGTCATATTCTGCAAATTTAATCCAGGGCACCAAGTAATGCAATTAAAGTTCAATTAATCTATAAAAAAAACTAGTTTTTTTTTAGAATTGAAAGCTTTTTATTAAAATTTCAGTTACCGCTCTCCCAGCATAGAAATTTCTCCAAGTTTACTTTTCTCTCTACACTCGTAAGAACGACACATTTTCGAAACAAGACTGCTCGTATCAGGGCGAAGCCCTGAATGTTCCGACTGGCTTTTAAGATTTATGGAGCAGTAATTATATTGAATGGAATAAAAAAAATGAATTAAATGGAATAAAAAAAATGAATTGTTTAATTTGAGATTTTTTTGTGAAAATCATCCCCCATACGCCATTCAAAGTACAAAATGATAGATTTCGCTGCTCGTAACAAATCAATTATGGCAAATAAGCTTCTTTCAGCCAACTTGGAACGATTTCTAAGACGGATTAAATCTTCGCTTACGCATTAATAGCGCGAAATATATCGCGCGTTAATTGTCACAAATTGACCAAAATGGCAATCCTTAAACCCCCATAACTTTACAAAAAAATATCACAGATAAAATATGTTTTCACATTTAAGTTTAGGACGACAATAGCTTTCGAATGACCTAAAAAAATTCCGTCAAAAATGGCTAGTTAAAAAGTCGAAGTTTGTCTGAAGAAAAAAAGTCGAGATTTCACCTGTGATCTTTTTTCGAAAAGTTATGAGGGTTTAAAGATTGCCATTTTGGCCAAATTGGGACAATTAACGCGCGATATATTTCGGGCTATTAACGCGTAAGCGGAGATTTAATCCGTCTTAGAAAATGTTCCAAATTGGTTAGAGGAAGCTTATTTGCCAAAATTGATTTGTTAGAAGGAGCAAAATCTATCCTTTTGTACTTTATATGGCGTGTGGGAGGATGATTTTCACAAAAAGTTCATAATAAAAAAAAAATTTACTTTTACAATTAATTTTTTCATGTTATGACTGCTTCATTGACCTTAAAAGGCAGTCGAACCTTCAGTCTCGTTTTATTCAATGTAGTGTCGTTTTATTCAATGGTTGAATTATAAATTTAATTGGGGCATAGTGGCTTAGAAACCTTCAACAGTTGGGTTTTTCAGGAGTTTTTTTTGTTCGTCGTTTTTTATATTGGCTTAGCAATTGTTTTCTATAAATTTTAATGCAAAATTGTCTCAGCATTTTCAATTAAATTCTCAAATGCGATCTACTAAGCTGATTTTGAAGAAAATTGTAATTAACTTATTGATGTTTTTATTTTACAGTTTTTATTAGCTTAGTTTGTACTTGTGTGTCTAGGTCAAATGTCAACTTGACCAGCAGTAGCACTAGTGGAAATAGTAGTAGCAATACAGCCAGTGAGCCTGGACTGGAGATATGCTGGTTCAAAGACGAGGACTTTATTCACGTCGAGCCCAGCAGCAGATACAGAGTGGACTGCTCACGCAAAGGTCAGTGGGCTCAGCAGCGAGTCTTCTAAAACTAATAAATTAAATTTTAGTTTTAATTATGGTTCTGAAAACTTATGAAAAATTTTCCTCTAACAAAAAGCTCTAATAGTTTCATTTTGACTTCAATTGTTAATAAATTTTCACATACCCATTTACTTTGTATTTTTATTCCAAAAATTTCCCACAGATCCAGTTTTTTTTTGTTAATATCCAGGTTTCTACGCCCTCCTCATAGACGACATAGGTGAAGATGACATCGGAACTTACTACTGCATAGCTACTAATACAAATGGACAGAGAATATTCTCAGCTGCCAATCTAGCCATAGACACGCCCTCCAATTATGCAGGGACGACAGGAGGGGGTAAAGGAGGTGAGGAAATTTTTTCTGTTTTATCAACTTCTTTTTTCTTACTGTTGTCACCCCAAGCTGTCCTCAGAGGCAATGTAAATTAAAAAGGACAACTTAAGTTTTCGCGGTTTGACTATTGATTTCTTTTTTCGTTCAGTTCAGTTTTTTTGTTAAAAGGAAGGCAAATTGTCGATCAGCAAAAAAGTAAAGTTCACTTAAAACGTGATTGACTTCTAGTTTCGAAAATGGAATTTAATTTTCAGATTTCCCAGCGAAGAAAAAAATTTACCTATTGATCCAGTTTTCTCAAATTGGGGTTGATTTTATCAAAAAAGTGTCGAACACAAACTGTTCTAAAAGTTCAAAGACCTTCAAGGCCATCTGATTTTTGTATTTTTTGGATATAATTGTCTTTTTTAGTATAATTCATGAGAAAGAAGAGAACCAACTTGGTCGTGGTCAATAGCTTTTTTTCTTAAATATGGATATGGTTCCGTTAACTTGAGTCATTTTAGGTCACTCGAGGGGAGTGGACGAGGGGGATGATGACATGAGGAGTGTGGCGGACTCATTCGCCACCTGTGATGACGCCAAGAGCATCCTCTCTACCTCAACAGACATGCACAGGTATTCGAAAGAGCTAAAGTTTCCACCAAGCCCCCAGAAACAAAGCTACGAGAGTTGTCTAAAATGATGACGAACTATTCAAGCGGTGATAGTTTGGGAACCGGCGCCGCGAGAACTGCGAGATGACAAGCATCGAATATCTTAAATTCTCGCCTTCGAAAAATCATCTTGATTAACAATTTTTCAAAATACATCTTTTCTTGAAAACTTTCTTTTTTACTAGCTGCATAACTGGTGCCACCGGGACGCACAGTGTGACTGGCGGGGGAGGGGGAGAGAGGGGTCACAATGGAAGACGGAGAGACAGCACCAACAGCATGCAAAGTGCATTCAGCGACACCACAAGGCACACAAGGCTCACTTTAAATACAAAAAAATTAGAATTGAGTCAGAAAGGGACTAAATTTGGTTGCTCTGGACGCCAGTTTTTTTTGCGCCCAGCTTTGCAAAAATCAATAAATTAAGATTTTTTAGACCGTTTTGTTTAAATCCCCCGATCAACGGCTGATGTCATGATATTTTTGCACTTATTTATGATATTTATAAGAATAGAATATAGATTCTGTTACAACAAGCACATGATAATTTCTTGCTTTTAAGTACTCTATTAGTCTGATCAGATGAAATTTTGTTCGAAGCTAAAAAAAGTTTCATTTATTGAAAGTTTTAATTATTATACTAAGAATTACATATATCTGGCTATTTAATAGTTAGTTAATCGGGCAATAATTTTTGTCTTTTTTTTGCTTAATTCTGCTTTTCTTTCGTCAACTGGATGAAACTTTTTTAAAATAAGGCTAACTTGTCCCATCCCATGTGTAGCATTATGTCTGAGGGTGACTTCTCAAATCTACCTGGCGGGGGATCAGAGGGAGCAGCCGGGGGTATGTTGGGATACGCAGGGGGTATGCCCACTTACCAGATGTGTGAGTTTGTGTCTAAACCACAAGGAGGTGTGTTCAATGAGGGGACTACTGTTGAGATGGTCGCCAATGTCTCAGGTGCGTTTTGCGAGTCTCCCCTTTGAATTGAAAGCAAATCAGTTAGAGGTGGGACTCGGATTCCCGTAATCAATTGTCGCTTATTGTCATTGACTTCAGAAAAACGCATGAAAAGTTGAAGTTGTGGGTGAATCATAGAATGAATTTCAAACCTCTTTTGGCATTCTTTTCAAAACTTAGCGCCAAAAACAACTATATTTTGTGTAAAACAAGTACGCCAAAAAATTTTGAAACAAAAAACTTCAATAAGTGTGAAATGTAACAGAAATTAATTTGTTCCTAAATTAATTAGCGTCCGTGGTCCGTTCAATTCGGTGCTTAATTAATGATATATGAAGAGTTAAACGAAAATATCATTGTAAAAAACCTTCCCTGAGAACAATTTATTATGATTTATCTTCTTTCCAGGCTACCCTCTGCCAGTGATTGAATGGTTCCGCAATGGGAAACTGCTCAAATCAGCCGGCAGAATATTCATCTCAGAAGACCCCTTCTCTGGCAGAGGCACTCTGACTATTAGGGGCTGTGATCTCACAGACGCAGGGGAGTACACGGTTGCTGCCAACAACACAGTCAATGCTATTTATGCTGTCGTCAATGTATCTATTCAAGGTAAGCCACGCGGTGTTGGGAAAAAATTGATCTGGGACGTAAAACATTTTTTTAAAGAAACTATTTTATACAAAAAAGTTTTGAGTGAAATAATATGCCGACAGATCTTTCGATTTTTTTGTTGAAGCTTTTGATTTAAAAAGAAGTCAATTTGCGCAGTTTGGTCATTATTACTCACGACTGTTTTCGAAAACTTTACGACCGTCTTACTACTTACCGTTTTCTGATGTACGATGGGGTTCCCAGGGCGCTGTTAACTACCTCAAAAAAACTCACAGGGACTTAATTGTGGGATCTTATTTTCTGGCGTGACTTGGAGCTTGGAAAGATATTTCGAAATTAGTTTTCTCAATGGCGATAAAAATTTGTCTGACTACTTCAGTTTTTCACACTTATTTACAACGGGAGAAAATCATAGCGAGAGTCAAATATACATGGAAAATTTCCCAGATTGATTTTCACAGACTATTTTTTTTCATTTGTGCTTTTGATTGAGTTCTGGTATGACCTCATTTTTAATGTTTATTTTAAACACTTTCCCTGTGCCCAAGAACAGCAAGAGAAAATGTTTTAAATACCGTGATCACTTTAACACCTTACTTAAAATTTATAGTCTAGAGCCATGTTTTAGAGTCTAGATCCCATGTTTTACCTGATAAAATTTATGCGTTCTTTTCCCATAACTATTTCAAAAAACGTCTTTCTACTTGAAAGTCTTATTAGATTGTTTGATTTTTTAAATAATTCCTACTTAGAGTTAATTACTATTCTGTTTTATTTTAGAATGCGAAGAAGAGGAAGACGAAGAAGAGTTTGACGAAGAAGACGAAAACGACGACGATGAAGATGAGGAGGGAACTGACACCGAAGAAGGAGAGCCAGACGTCGAAGACACCTCGAATGAACCGAGCGGAGACACTCCCGAGGAACCACCCGACAAGTCACCTTCGCCTCCAGAACTCCCGCTACCTTCCGACAAATTAGCTACAAGTGATCCAGATAAAACCTTAACTCCGGGTATGGGCGAACGACGGGCTCTGGGTATTATGTCTTCCGAGATTCCGAGTCCAGCTGAAAAACTTAAGTTTTTCGGGTCGAATTACCTTCCTGACGACGATGATTCGGATGATGACTCACTAATCTCTTCGACGGAAACTCCTGGACTACCAACGATTGAGCTCCCAGAAACTTCTCCAGGTTTCTTTGACACTCTAGGCGAGGACTCTTCACTAGTAAATGAAATTTTTGAAACCCTTAAAATGAAGAAGCAAGTGTCATCAGCGTCTATAGATTCAAGTAACCCAAGCTCCACTACAAAAACTCCTCTTGATATCGATTCTGCTTCTTCTCCAAGTGTTACAGCTACGTCACCGAACGTCACCGCTACGCAACATCAGCCATTAAGGAACACAGACTCGTATGGAGCTAACACCGACGACGTTTTTGCCGAGAAGAAACTAAGCGCGACAACAAGCAAGACTTCTGTTTCGAAACTCAGTCCCGACGCGTCGCCTCCGACACTCGGTCGCCCAGTTTCACCCCGGATGCGTTCGGCATATCCGGAACTCCCGCGAGTACCTCCCGAGATCACCAAACCTCTTGCCGACGTTACAGTATCTTCCGGATGCCTGGTTACCTTGGAATGCTCTTTTGCACTACCGATTCCAGATTCGATTGAGTGGTTCAGGAACAACGAGCAAGTTCAGTCCAATCATTCCATTGCGTTCAAGAATGATTCCGAGTCTGGCAGTGTGTCGTTGAGTATTCTTTCTGTTATCCCACTGGACGAGGGAATTTATGAAGTGGTCGGAAAAAATGTTCTGGGTTCTATTCATTCTTCAGCATTTTTGAAAGTTGACGGTGAGTTCCGTGTTTAATTATATTTAAATAACTAGCTAACTATCTTAATGTTTTTGTTTTTTTTTGTTTGAACATTTAAAAATTTTCTTCTTGACGTTGCTCATGGAGCTTTAAATATGCAAAATATGGCCGAACTTGATTGTTTTTAGGTAGCGACATGGTTTTTCTTCTTGCTTTCTCGCTTTTTTATTTTTGTTTTGGTTTTGTATTTTCTTGCCAGTTATTTCATCATTTCACAGTTTTGCTAGTTTTATGATAGTGACCATTCACAATTCGTTATAAGAAGAACGAGCAAAAGAGTTAAACTAGTTCGGAAAATTTATCCATGGATTGACTTCAGGATTGCAAGTCGCATTCGACCGGAAAGACCGGAATGCAATGGGATCAACAGATCGTTTCAGCGCATGCACAAAAAATAAGTGATGAAAAAAATTTATAAAATTGAAACAAAAGACTTCTAAAAACATTAGTTAAAAAATTTGATGACCCTAGCGGGATTCGAACTCTAGTACCTAGGCTTATTTTTTTAAGGTGAATGTTTTTTTTTCAGCCAATCAGCTTCGGCGTATCTCGGAGAGTGACGAGGACACGATGTGTGAGAGTGTGAAGACAGACGACGGGTCGAACACAGTGGTGGACTCCTCTTGTTCGGCCAGTCGGAGGGTGTCCATGACTAGTACCTATGGCACTGTGGTCAGCAGCAGTGTGGAGGAGTCAACGTCTAGTTGTGCATTGGGGGGACTTATTGATAAAGTGAACCAAGGTCATCAGGGCGTAAAGGTATGTCAGTTTTACTATTTTTATATGATTATTATAATTTCTTAGAAATAATTATTTTTCATTACATTTATTCGCTAGACAGGCTTAGTTAAGCACTTCGATTTAATCTGGGACCATGTCCAATTGTTTTTACTGTGTTATCTGATTGGTTTTTTTTGGTTCGAAAACAAATTATTATGGTTTTATGGTTATATGGTTTCATATATTATGGTTAGATTTTGTTCATGACGTCCGACTGCTCAAAAACTGAAACACAGAGCTAGACCATTCTAAGTTGGCTGACAAAGCTGATTCAGAATGGATTGTGTTCTTTGAGCGCTATTTAATTTTAAATACGTAGTTTTGAGGTTTTCTCATCTTTCAGGACCTCCACCCAAAATCAACCGGCACTGGTACTACTTCTGGCACTTCTGGAGTGTCAGCCGGACTGGGTAGACACAAAGTTTGGGAGGTGGTGATGGGCTTCACTGACACAGACAATGCACTCAAGTTGAACCCCGGTGAGAGGGTGATCGTGATCGATGACTCATCGGAGAAGTGGGTGGTGAGACATGCAAACACACTTGCTGTGAGTCAATTTTTAGTACACTTCATTGTTTATTTAACCTCGATGTCATAGAATCACATTGTCCTTAGACAGACTTATCCCTTTGATCACAGCCTTTGATAGAGATTGTTTCCAGTTCGCGGAAACAACATCATTTTGATTCAAATTGCATATTTGAAGTTTTTTCTAAATATTGTATGAGTATCCTCTCTTATTTTGATATGTTTTTTGGCGTTTGTCCAACATCAATAGACGACTTGAAAATTGAACTATGATTGTTAAACAGGCGTAATTTTGTGCGACTTTTTCTGCACATCGAAACGCCAGATAAGATCGAGCGAGGAATCGGATATAAATTGTTTGTGATAGTTGGAATAACAGAGTACTTTTGATAAATAGCCTTTTTGATTTCTATGAAAACTGGAAATCAGAAGTTAGAAAATAAATCTGTAGAGCTCGGCTGTGTGTAGAGCTTATTTTTGTTTTATTTTACTAGCCTATGCTGGTTAAACTGCATTTGCAAATTTTTCCAAACAACTATGGCGAGGCAAAGAACTAGGCACTTTTTGGGAAAAAACGATGCAATTTTCAGAAAGGAACTATGGAATTTTTGGGAAAAAAAAAATATGGAATTTTCGGGTAGGAACTATGGAATCTTTGGGAAAAAACGATGCAATTTCAGAAAGGAACTATGGAATTTTTGGGAAAAAAATTATAGAATTTTCGGGAAGGAACTATGGAATCTTTCGGAAAAAAACTATGCAATTTTCGGGAAGGAACTATGGACTTTTTGACGGAAAAAAACTATGAAATTTTCTGTAAGAAGCTATGGAATCTTTGGGAATTTTCAGGAAGGAATTACAAACTCTTTGGGAAAAAACTTATTATCTTTTCAGGATTGAACAATGGAATTTTTGAAAAGACTCTTTGGATATTTTGAGAAGGAATTGTGAACTTTCTGGGAATGGATTTTGAAATTTTCAGAAAATAACTGAACTTTTCAAGAAAGAATTATGCGCGTTTTTGGAAAGGACTATGGACGTTATCAGGCGACCTTACACCAATCTTACACACCCTCGCTGAATCAAGGCCTCAATTTATTTGCACTTAACTGTTTTCATATCTTCATATCTCTCTGATGAAAGCTAAAACTGTTTAATAAATTCAAAGTAACTCTGATTACCAGAGCTGATTTAAAGTCCTACGCTTTCTTTTACAGCATGTCCTACAAGTCAACAAGTCAATCTTCTTCTGTCTCTTTTTTACCGTTTTATTTTGACTTACAGTTTATCTTAATTTATAAACACTTTCAAAATCTTAATGATAATTTATGATCAATGAAAATCACGCCATCCACTTTGTTGGAGTTTTTGTGAAGTTTTGTGAAGTTTTCAATATTTATCGTATGTTGTTAAGGTGTTTATTTTGATCTCTTCTAGGTAAGTTTTATTAAAGATAAGAGCAATAATCGGTCTTCAAACAAGTTGAAGACATTCAAACAAACTTTCTGTACTATAAATGAAAGAATCTCAGAATAAAAACTTATTTTTTCTCTTCGCATCAATTTTGTGAAATAAATCGAGTTTAAAAGCATAATGGAGAAGATTTTTCTTCTGAGCTTCCTGGTAGCTTCGGCTGACGCGTTCGCCTTGAATCAATTTCGATTTGAAACTGATAGCAACCAAAATGTGGATTTGAAAAGCATATCTTAAATTTATAGGAAGTTGATGCTGCTGCGCCAACATTTTAGCCATTTTTTTGTGTTGAAAAGCAATAATAACCATATGTGTAAAAGTTTCTTTGTCTCAAAAATTAATAAGATTTAAAGTTTTCTTCATTTTCAACACAGAAATTCAAAATCATTTGATTGTTGTCTATTTTACAGGACGTTTTGTGAGACGTTTTTTGATCTTAGATTTTTCAAAAAATTGGGAAGTTTAAACTTGTATCATTTCGTTTTCTTCATAGAGTACAATGAAGAACTTTAAATTTTTCTTCTTTTAGTTTTTTTTTTCGTTGAGGTTTCTATACTCATGAAATTTCATTTGAATTTAATTTCTTCGATATGCTTTCAATTCAAACTTAAGCGCACTTTTGAGCGAAATATTGTCCAAATAGTAGACGGCACTCTCGTACCCTTGGGCAAATATCCTTTCATAGTTGTCGTTGAAAAATACGAAGGAGGCGACTACTGCGTCGGATCAATCTACAACGAGTGGACGATTATAACAGCCCATCACTGTTTGGACCATTCTGCAATGACCGGGTGGAGAATAATCGCCGGCGTTGTCGACAAGAATACTTTTTTCTCTGTTTCTTTTCTTTAAAGTCATATTTTTACTTCAAAGTACATGCAAATTCATACACAGAAGCTGAAAGAATATTTTGTTTTTGGCTTGCCCAGCGAAAAGAAAATTTACCAATTCAATCATTGTACTCAAATAAGGTTAATTTCATTAAAAAAACTAACATGAAAAAAAGTGTCGAGTTTTATTTGTAAAAATTTAGGCCGCAAGGTCCGGTTGTTTTAAATTAATGCGCACACTAGCTCAACTATTCCAACCTTATTTGATAGTCATAGCTATTAGCTACGTAGAACCCCCCATTATAACGAAAAAAAATTTTGGCACTCAAAAACAGCCGTACTCTAAAAATTCTAACATCTTTAATGTGTATTTTTTTTTCTTTGAAACTCGAATAGTGAAAATTAGTTTTTCATTTTACTTCTGTTCGTTGACTCTTTTGCAAATATCTGCTGAGCTTATTTTTCTTATAATATTTGGCAGAAGTCAGTTTTTATGAGTTTGCTCTCCTTGCACTACAGCCAAAAACAGCGTTTCTGTGAAAGAGAAAGTTGAAAATTTTTTATCGTAGAAATGTCTTAGAAATCCATTTTACACTACAACGTAAAAAGTAAATCCGTCCATCACCAGGCAAGACTATGGATCAAACCGACAAGATCGAAAAGCTTCCGACTATTTGTTTCATCCATTATCCCGTTCGGGACAAAATGTCGCTGACAAGGCGAATTACGAAGAGTTTCCAACGGTGAGCGCATACGACATTGCACTAATCATGCTCTCTGAAAAATTGAATTGGACTTCGACTGTCGCCCCTGTGAAGTTACCATCGAGTGATATGAAGGCTATTGACACTGTTGTTGCGGGGTGGGGAAGCACCGGCGGTGGTAGCCTATCGCCACAAGATGATTTGAGGGAGGCGAAAGCTCCAATTTACAACCGTGACGTCTGCCAGGCAGATTGGGCTGAAGTAAAAACAAAATGCCAATTTTGTACCAAGAAATCGAATTTCCCCAGACTTTTTATGAGCACCAAACGGGGTGAAGGGGGGTTCATAAAGAACGTAAATGAGCAGTAACATTTCTACTATAAAATTTGGTTTTTAAAAATGGTGAAATCGAGTTTTTTTGATTAAAAAAACGTAATTTGGCACTTGGTTTTGTCAGTTGGACCAATTGAGCATCGCCGACACTCAACTCTGTGCTGGCTACGAAGAAGGGGGACCGAGTTTTTGTGAATATGACGCTGGTGCCCCCTTGTTCACTCCTGTTCCTGTTGAAGGTAAAATGGGACTTTTTTGGGTCGAGAAAGTGCGTTAATCAACAAGAGCAGCTGGCTAATTGATAGACTAGATAATTCTGCCCTCAGTTAAATTGGTTATAGTTTTTTTTAAGTAAAGATTTTAATTTCCTAGTGCTATTTATGCTTAGTTGATTTCAAAAAGCTCTTTTTCTCGGCCCAAATAATTCTTTAAATTATTCCGATAAGAATGGGACAACCCAGACAACTGTGGTTTTGCTATTATTGGGTTAGCCCTTTTGGGCCCTTTCCCCTGTGGGCAACCACACTCTCCAGGAGTCTACCTCAAAGTATTGTCGTTTGTGGACTGGATTGAGGAAAACGCCAAGTACCATGATGATCCCGACTATGATTACGACTATGATTACTATTATAACCAGCTGTAGAACGAGTTTTTGTTAACTCGGTTTGATGTAACTGTTTTGTTGTATTCTTGTATCCACCAATCATTTTAATCACTTAAATAAAAATAATTTATACCTGTTAGTTTTTCCCATTGTTCAGTTTATTGTGGTTGTCTTCTTTCACTTTTCAACTTTAATTCAAAATCGTTTTCCCTTCATAGCTTTGAAAAAAAAACTGAATGTATTTGAGCGGATTTATTTTTGCTGCAATTTGAAGTAACCCGATTTTTTTTCAGAAAGCAAGCAATTTTGTTCAAATATAAGACTAGCCTGATGCGCCTGATAGCCTAAGCAGTGAGTTCTTCTTAAAAAAAACAAGACTCCCTTAAGTTTCGAAGAGTTTGGATTCAAAAAGGATGAAATTTTCATTAAAAAAATGAAAAGTTTTTGCTTTTCTTTGAAAATTCCCCCACCCCAGGTCTAAAAGGATTTGAATTGATAGAATCAAATTGGTTCTACGGGAAGCCAAGTAGCTTGAATTACTCTTAATGGTGCGAAAAAAAGACAGACAAAATAATTGGGAGAGCTACTTGGTCCTTCGTCACTAGGTTATCTCAAGCCACCATTTGCACCCAAACAAGTATAAAACCTAATCAATTGGTTAACTTTGCAACCCAGGCAACTGTTACCACATACTTTGAGTCGCGACAAGAAGTCAAATCTACTCGGGAAAGTAGTAAAACGGCAATTCTACGATTGCAGCTTTTTTTATCTTTTAACAAGAGACCAAATATGTTGCTTTTTGAGCCAAATTCGAGCAAAGATGATTATAAGCACCGGTTATTGTGTAGTAACGCCAGATAAGAGACTAAACGCTGTTGATTCGTATTAAAAAAATGACAAAAAAACCTGAGTTTGAAGGCCGCATTACAGCCACTTTTGAGAATAATGCTAATAGTATATATCTTAAATATATATTGCAAAAAGTTGAATGATCTCGTTGCACTTTTTTGAAGTTTTTTAGCTTCTGAACAAAATAGCGAACCTTCACAGTTCACCATCAAAATTAGTGACCAAC